CCCCGGAGACTTGCAACCAGGGAGCAATGGGCAGCGGCAGCTCATCCCAGATAACCCCCTGGATCCTGTCTCCATGTCCCCTTTTCTCTGACTTCCCAGTGAGCTGACATAAGCGCAGCCTTGGATCACCTCTGTCACTGTGACCTTTTTAAAAAATATATGTTTTTTATTGATATGAGAGAGAGAGAGAGAGAGAGAGAGAGAGAGAGAGAGAGAGAGAGAGAGAGAGGTAAAGTGAGGAGAGAGAGAAACAATTGACATGAGGGAAACATTGGTGTGAGAGAGAAACTTGGATCGGTTGCCTCATACACACCCCACCTGGAATTGAACCCGCAACCTGGGTATGCACCTTAACTGGGAATTGAACCAGCAACCCTTTGGTACATGGGAGGATGCTCAATGAACTGAGCCACACCAACCAGTGCTGTCACTGTGACTTTCCTTTCTCAGTAACTTGTTGACACAAACAGTTAATAAAATGAATTGATCGACAAGGGCCAAAACGATTTTTAAAGCATCTAATTTAAGCTCTTATAATTGTTTGAACAGAATCCCAAAACTATGAAACTGGAAGAAACCTTAAATATCTTTTAGTCCAGCCATTTCCTTTGGCAGATGAATGAACTAAAACCCAAGAAGTGGGGAGACTTACTAGATACTCAGTGTGGATATAAGACAAAAATATAGCTTGTCGATTACTACCCATAGTGTTTTCACCATACCAGTACTTTGCTTTATTAACCTTTGTTGTGGTTATTTTAACAACTAACATTTATCCTGTGTTCAATGTGTGTTGGCAATATCCCCAAATCTTTACATAGATTGCCTCACCTAATCTCCACAATAATCCTAGGAGGAATGACACTGTTACTATCCTATTACTGATGAGAGAACCAAGATGGGTTTCCCTAAGATCTGCCCACCTGTAACACTCAGAGGCTAGGATTGAACTCAGGCAGCCAGATTCCAAAATCTGTGGTTTTCGCTAGCATATTTAAAATTGTCACCATGTTCCTAAAGTTATGCTAGCAGTTTTTCAATTTTCAATTCCACATCAGAGCCAAACCTGCTCTCTTCGGAGTACTGCTTCTTGAATAAAAATCTATATTTTCTCCACACCACATCTTTTTTTAAAAAAATATATTTCTTTATTGATTTCAGAGAGGAAGGGAGAAGGAGAGAGAGATAGAAACATCAATGATGAGAGAGAATCATTGATTGGTTGCCTCCTGCATGCCCCCCACTGGGGATCAAGCCATCAAGCCGGCAACCCAGGCATGTGCCCTTGGCCGGAATCGAACTTGGGACCCTTCAATCCGCAGGCTGACACTTTATCCACTGAGCCAAGCCGGCCAGGGCTCTCCATACCACATCTTAATGAGAAGCATGATTACTTAACACACAGTCTCCACGTATGAATATGATATGCTATGCATGTGGGTAAAGGCCATTCTGCTTTGAAAAATCTGAAGACTAAACTGCTGGTCTTCTTTAATCCTAGCCAATGCTATACCTGCTCAGTCTTTTCCTTGTGTTTCCTAGGGGGTGACTGTGCTACCTTAATGAAGAACATGGGTCCTCTCCCTGTTGATATGGCCCGGATGTACTTTGCTGAGACGGTCCTGGCCTTGGAATATCTGCACAATTATGGAATTGTTCACCGGGATTTGAAGCCAGACAAGTATGTATACTGATGAAATATATCTTTTTTTTACACAATATAAAAGTTTTCTTACGTCTATAAAACTATTTTCTTTTAATGCTGTTTTACACATTTTAAAATCTTCCCATAATGTGCTCAAGTGAGTTATTTTAAAGTATATATGGTAATTCTTTAAAGCTATGATGCTTATAATAATAGCTTATAGGGAACAAAAGAAAAAGACGACTTTAAAGCCAGGGTTAGTTGATTTTTTTTAAAGGCTTTATTCTATAAACTAGTGAATAGTTACATACACTACTACTAGTTTTCTGGATAGTCTCTGTCATACTTACATAATCTTTTTCTACTGAAAGGTGATATGCTTGATATTCTATTCTGTTTTACTCATAATTTAATGTAAAAAATTTTAATCTATATAGAGTTCATTATGGTATCTGATTTGAGACACAGATAGACTATTTTTCTCCAAATGACTAGTTATTCATCTTGATGCCAGTTATTAAATGTTTCATGCTTTCTTCACATCTGAAAAGCCTCTAAATGCATCCCCTGTTAGTATGTATAGCTTCTATGTATGCAGAGAATCGAATGATACCTATAACTCATGTTCAGTCCAGAAAATTTGGAAAGTGGAAAAAACCATTTTTCTTTATATAGTTTTAGTAATGCACAACATTACTGAGCAAAGACAAGTATTAGAATTTTAGCATATTTCCTTTTAGTAGCTTTTTTACCTCAACTCCTCTGTTCCTGTAATTGTTAATTAACATTTTGATTTTCTTCTAAAATGAAAAATTTTAAAAATATAAACTCATAAAGCTGTCAAACGTGAATGTGTTGCATGTATAAGAAATGTAGGTTTTGTGCTAATGAGCAGAAATTTAAATTCAACCCAGAAGTTGAAATCTGAAACAATGCTACATTTTCCAGTCCACATTCCTTATCTTGTGTCTCATTTGAGTCACAGATGGGTTGCTTATCTTAGTTCCTGATGTGTGACATGGTATATGATTGTAGCCCTTTCTCCTCTGTTTTCTTATTCCGAAAATAGATGTCAGAGTTCCACACTGGAATTTTCTGAGAGTTTCAGGTTGTAGATGATAGTGTATGTGGCTGCTCCAGCAAAGATCAGCTGTGCCTGGTCTCTGGCCTTCCCTTGTGAATTACACTCAGCTGCCAGATGCATGTATTTGACATCTTCCTGTGACTTTATCTCTTCCTGGGCTGGGTTTCTCATAAGGTTGACACCTATATACTAAAGAGTCTTACAGTTGACAAGAGAAGGGAGAGAGTTAAAAAAAAAGAATGAGCTGCAAAGTGAGCGTTGTAATGTATGTCCTTCTGCTTCATAGTTTGTTGGTCACCTCCATGGGGCACATCAAGCTGACAGATTTTGGATTATCCAAGGTGGGACTGATGAGCATGACTACCAATCTTTATGAGGGTCATATTGAGAAGGATGCCCGCGAGTTCCTAGACAAACAGGTAAGCGTGCATGCTGTTCATGTCTACAGAGAAATACAGAGTGCGACATTGCCAGTGAATTTCGGATCAACATCGGTACCGAGGGTTTAGATGTCTATATAGGCCTTACATTTAATAAAGTGCAAATTGCCTCCATTTTTCTCCATGGGCCTCTTTGAACTGTCCATTCCTCCCCCAACATTATGGTCTATTAGCAAGATGAACGGCCTAATTGCACACAAGTAAGAGTGTGAGAGAGACAAATGGAAAACTGTTTTTGTAAGGAATTCAGGAGTCTCAGTAGAGTACTCGTGAAGCTCATGATGCATCGTGCAATCACGGGTGCTAAAATCCGGGCCATGGCCCATTTCCCTTTAAGCATGCCTCATTACCATGTGCCCACAATCTGTTCATTGTAAAGTTACTTACGGTAAACACATCTCAACTGTCATGCTTTTATAAAGTACCCAGGATGTGAATATATTTGGGCCATACAAATGCTAAAACTATCTCTGAGAGTGACGGATAAAAAAGGCATGATTTTAAATTTAAGGCTTACAGATGTTTTTAATACTGTAAAATAGGCAAAGCTACCAACAGGGTCAAGCAATTGGTTTGAAATGGCACGTTACAGATAGTTTGACATTAGGGTAGAATTGTAAATTTCCCTTCTTCGGTATTTACAGGATTTATTGCCTTTGGTATTAGGGATGCCAACTTATCAGTGCTGTTTTTACGTTCTTTGTCCATGTGGTTGAGCAGGTGCACTCTGGGCAAAATAATTGATGCTTGGCCCTGCTGCTCATTTTAATTTACGTCCAATATTCCAATTATTCTAATATTGCAATCATCTTTTAGGTCTGCGGCACACCTGAATACATTGCCCCAGAAGTGATTCTGAGGCAGGGCTATGGGAAGCCTGTGGACTGGTGGGCCATGGGCATTATCCTCTATGAATTTCTGGTTGGATGCGTGCCATTCTTTGGGGACACTCCAGAAGAGCTGTTTGGACAAGTCATCAGTGGTAAATATCATCAGGCGTTATCTTTAAGCCCCTGTTGGGAAGCAGCCATTTAATGTAATTTTATGAAGTATCACTGAATTGACTACTAAAATGTTAACCTTTGTCAAACAATTTAGCCAACAGATTAAGAGAACTCACTCATCATCGCACATAACTGACTTTCATAATATCGAGAGAGCAGTTTGGCTTGAAAATCGATCTGAGGAAGTTTTGTTAACATGGAATTTGGAAATATACTGGCAATGTAACTGATTTTTATGGTGTGCTTTTTCTGCAAAAGAAATTGGTGTGGGACTTGCAAATGAGTTCATTGCTGTCCAGTCTTCCTTTCCATAATAGCAAAGTTGCGCCCGGGAAGAGAAGGTTAATGTGGGTAACATTTACATAAATGGGAAAAATGGCTAAAGGCACAACAAAGAAATTAACAAAAATGTAATAAATCCTAAAACAAATGTCTACCAAATAATAAATAATGAGAATGGGAAGGAAGCAAATTTAATCCACAGATTGTTAATGATTTCATTGGTAGTTATTATGGTGGAATGTTATTTCTGTAACAGCTGTTCGTCTTTCATTTAAAATTCAATAACCTTTAGATCTTAACCTGCAAAGCTGACCCTAACTATTATGTGGCTCCTGGCAAAACTAAATGATAATTAAATAGGCTCTATTACTACCCTACCTGCTGTGTTTATAAATTTACCCTAAGCATAGATCAAAAAGGCCTCTTTTCTCAAAGTTTGTCAGTCATTACTGATATCCCCATCACCTTCCTCTGGTTCATTCTGGACTGCATTTATGGGATCCAACCATGGGAATGGGAGGGAATTCATTTTGGAGCCCTTTAACCACAGCATTATTTTCTGTCATTGACTTTGCAAGTCAGGCGTATTTGTAAACTTTAACAAAGTAGATTTGTGAATTGCCTGCAGTGAATAACCCTTTTATACAATATCTGAGCTGTTTATGGATTTATAACTAGGCTGTTTTCTGACACTCCAAGGCCTGAATGGCAAGAGGAATCAACTGTTTAATTAACACAAGCAGCAAATGCTGGCTTTGTTCTCCATGCCTTACGGCTCAGATGCATATTCATGTTTTATTTTCCAAATCAGATTTAAACTGCAGCAGAGGAAGCTAGAGGCAGGCACACACAGAAACAACTCATGTTTTTATTGCATTTCCATACACACAAGCATGCATACCTATCTTTAGGCAAACGCCTTTAGAATGTAGAACATAGTCTAATATTTATGACAGATTTTAAATACTTCTATTACTATGATTACTTTGAACTTTTTTTTTCTTCTTTGGCATTAGCATTTGGACCTTTCCTTTGTCTCTGGAAATAGTTACATTTACGAAATTACTTTCTGCTTCTTGGAGCTGCAGAACTCTATAGTTGAGGATAGTAGGAGAGAAAGCCTTACTCAGATGATCCCTGAATGGGTGACTACCTGAAATGCAGGTGTTTAGAGTTGCCACTCTATGACATCCTTTTCATAACTAGAAAGAGCAATTTGTTGTGAGCCATTTTCACCAAAGAAATATGAATCAACAAGGTGAAGGAAAGATACCGCTTATTGAGCAGTGTCTCCCTGCCTTGCTGAAAGCTGTGCTCTTTGTGTCTTATGAAACAGGCTTCTAAAACTTGCCTGAGCCTAGGAATCAACTGGAGAGCCTGTTAACATGCTCTCTCTGATTCAGTGGGTCCGGGGTGGGGCCTGAAAGCCTGCCTTTCTAACAAACTCCCAGGGCACGTCCATGTGTTGGGGCATGGACCACCATTTGAGCAATAAAGTTGTAAACGACTTCCCTTCCTTCTAGATGAGATCAACTGGCCCGAGAAGGATGAGGCACCACCGCCAGACGCCCAAGATCTGATCACCTTGCTGCTCAGGCAGAACCCCCTGGAGAGACTGGGAACAGGTTAGAGCACATGTGCTTTAATTTTGCTAATACGCAGGAAATAGTGTCTGTGTGGAACACTCAGAGGTTTGTGTTTGTCTCTCTCTGTTTTTTTTTTTTGCATAGGAAACATCTGTTAGTTGATGTAGAACATGACCACAACACATTATAACAATAGTATTTTGGATTTTTTTTTTCTGACTCAGAGCAGTACACACACTAGGAGCATGGGGTGGTGTTGTTTGTTAGTCCTTGTTGTTGTTGTTGCAAAGCAGAAATTATTCTTAATTTGTTTCAATGAATAAAATTTCTCTGGAAGAAAAATCTCAAAGTCCATGCCACTCTTCGATCCTGCAAAGCATCGGTCTTAAATAATTCAAACAGAGGATTAGAGATGTCCAGCTTTTTTGTTTGGAGTTTTTTAAAAAAATCTGTATCCCCAGAAAGATTGGACCCAGCGTGTTATTAACTACAGGCTTTGAACTGATTACTGGGAAGGAGTGCCTGGGGTTGGACCACGCTGTGCCATTGTGGTGATCAGTGCCAAGGCCAAACCAAGAGGCTAGAGAACTCTGGACTTTCAGGATTAAGGCGATAATAGATTTGTTAGTTGCTGATTATTTTTCCTGACAGTTGTGCTACCAGTTTTTTTATTTCTGCTTCCTCTTTTCCTTTTCTTCCTTATATTCTGATATTTTGAATAAATAGACTTAGAGATCCCAAGATAGAGTCCCAGCCCACCTCACTATGCAGATTTTTATAGATGAAGCCAAATACTAAATATAAACACATACAACACACACACAGTAGACAGTAGCCACAATTTCCAATAGTAAAAATTGGCTTGATGGGTTGTTTTCTGAGCCATTTCATTCTACTGCATTTTAATAGGAATATCAGAAAACATGGAAGAAATGAGTCTTTCCCTCCTTTTCAGGACAAAAACCATTTGCAACAGCTCCAAATATTTATCTCATATTGTTACCCACATTTGCCTATAGCTACTCTAGTTGGGGAGTTCTGTTCTTGCTGAAGTAAGGAATGCTACACCGCCAGAGTTTATGATGATTCATTAAAACCCATGGGCCAAATCTTTATTTTGTAAATAAAGATTTATTGAAACACAGTGATGCCATTCATTCACATTGTTTGTGGCTGTCTTCATGCTGTCGTGGCAAAGTTGAGTAGTCATGACAGACTGGATGGCCCATAAAGCCTAAAATATTTCCTATTTGGCTCTTTACAGAAAAATCTTACAGACTCTGAGTTAGAGAATCAGAATTTAAAATCAGGGCTCAATTGGGAAAACCGTTTTGAGTTGAGTATCTCACTGGAGTCCCATGTGCTCCTTTGCTTTTTCTTTAAAAAAAATAAAATGTTTTTATTGATTTTTAGAGAGAGAGGAAGGGAGAGGGATAGAAAGATAGAATCATCAGTTGGCTGCCTCCTGCACGCCCCCTACTGTGGTTTGAGTCTGCGACCCTAGCCTGAGCCCTGATTGGGAATTGAACATGACCTCCTGGTTCATGGGTCGGCGCTCACCCACCGAGCCACATCGGCCGGGCCCCTTTGCCTTTTTCAGGGGATGAGTGTGCCTTAAACTAGGGAAGGTAGCATCAGGGAAGGTAAGGGCACACAGGCTGGAGTCAGATTGAGTTTAAATCTCAGCTGTGGTCCTGGTTGGGTAGCAGTTGATTAGAGCATCATCCTGATATGCCAAGGTTTCGGGTTCAGTTCCCAGTCAGGGTGCATACAAGAATCAGTCAATAAGTGCATAAACAAGGGGAACAACAAATCAATGTTTCTCTCTCCAAAAAAAACAAACAACAACAACAAAACCCCCAATCAATAAATAAATAATTATAAATCTCAGCTGTGTGACCATGGGCCATTTGTTTCCCTGTCTGTGCCTCATGTCCTCACCTATAAAATGAAGCAGGTAGTAGCACCTCCCAGGATCATTGCGAGGATAATAATAGAACCACGAGGACACTGCCACTGCTGGCACGTCGTCTTCATTTTCTGCGTGTGTCATCTCATGCTTTCCCCTGTGGACTCATGGGATAAAGAAATGGTGGCGCCCCTCCCCCACCTTGGAGCTGATTGAACTCCGTGAACAAAGTCCTTTACCTTTCTTCTCTCTCTGTCTGGTTTTCCTCTTCTCCGAAGTGACTAGCAAACTTGTTATTTCCCTGTGTGACCTGTAGTCAGATGTGCTTTATGGTTCAAAAGATAAGAGCAGCTGTCAAAGAACTGGTGTCAGGGCTCCGTGTGGGGCAGAGTTTTGAGGAGTGATTTTTACTCGCTGGAGAAGCAACGGCATTTTAACAGCGCTCTGCAACAATGCACATATCTATCTGTACGTCCCAGGCAAGTGTCCCAGAGAACCGTTGTCCAAGGTCTGACCAAAATCATACTAGAATCAGCCCACCCTTTCTGAAGAGTCCCCTTCAGTGTTCATGTCAGGTTGGAGTTTCCCCCACTTTAATAGTTTGCCCATTTCCCTCTAAGCATACCTGGGTTCTTGCTGGCCCTTGATTTAGCGAGGCAGGGCCATGGTGATGGTCAGCACATCCATGTTTGTATATCACATGCTGCCAGTTCTCTCTCTGCACATTTTCCCCTTGACTGCTACTTTCAGTCTATTCAGTTTGACAGTTTGGGAAACAAATCTCCCAGCACAAGCTCGAAGGAGACATTTGAAAGCCCCTGCCCAAGCTCTCAGCATGGTCAAGAAGTGCTTCCAGTTGGGTTCGGAGGGAGAGGCTGAGAATCCCTCGGGCCTGCCATGCTGCCTCCAGTGACAGCATTTTGGATTTAATGCATATTTAGCGGGCAAAATAATGCACCGTGAAAATGTGCAAATGCACATTTGCCCCGAGAGACTAGAGAGGCTGAGAAAAGGAGTGTGAAGACCATAATGGATGTTTAAGAAACTTGCATGAAAGGAGAGAAGCGCTCAAGAGAGAACGTTAGTGCCAAGGCATAACCTGCAATTTGGGAGCTTGTTGAACTTGAACTGGACTTTTGAACTTGTAGAGTATTGAGTGGCAGCCTGGCTCATTGGATTTTAGAGCTGCTCAAATGTGACCAACTTCTACCCATGTACCATGGACTCCCACCATGTACTGGAGGTTTGGAGTGGTTTCTCCATTGCCCCTAATCTCAATTTCCTAATCTATAAAAGGGGCATGTTATATACCTCACAGGGTTTTGTGAGGACTAAATGCAAACGTGTTTGCGAAGGTATCTAGTACATTAACCTAGTACAGTGGTTCTCAACCTGTGGGTCGCGACCCCTTTGGCGGTCGAGTGACCCTTTCACAGGGGTCGCCTAAGACCATCCTGCATATCAGATATTTACATTACGATTCATAACAGTAGCAACATTACAGTTACGAAGTAGCAATGAAAATAATTTTATGGTTGGGTCACAACATGAGGAACTGTATGTAAAGGGCCAGAAGGTTGAGAACCACTGACCTAGTACATAATAGGAGCTCAAGAAGTGATTGGTTTCACTTCTCTACCCGGCGAATTCTTAGGAGAGCATCATTTGAGTGAGTTCTGTGTCTGATGATTGCATTTGGCTCATCATGCCGTCACCCCTATTGTGCCAACAGTTTAGCCGAGAGATAATTTTCCCCCGTGTGTCCTTTTCACTGTTTTGTTCCCCATCTCTCCAAACGTTCATGAGAAACAAGACCCAGGGATAAGCACCCTTCGCTCAGCGGGGCACAAAGGCCAGAGGGTGAGGAGTGTGAGCTGGGTCAGCAGTTGGCTGACTCGCTGGGGAACACCGTTTGTCATACACTCTCACCAGCTTGTGCTCCAAAGGGTGGCAGGCAGGGGAGTGAAAAGCAGACACTCTGGACGTGGTTCAGAAGTGCCCTTGGAGCCCTTGGCTCAGGGAACTGTGCTCTTCTGGGCAGATCAGAGCTGCCGTTTGGTGTGGCCATAAGAGCAGCAGCTGAAATGATGGCCGTTGCAGCGTGATGTGTGGTGACCACTAAGTAGGGCTTGACTCTGTGGGCCACACGAAGGGGAAGTTGTCCTTGACACAGTGAGGAAGTTGGATAGATAAATATTTAAGCCCTTTAACTTCTCCGAGATGAGAGCACTAAAAGAAAATGTGGCGGCAGCTGCGTTCAGGACGTTGATTGGATGAGAGCCGGGGTGCATGGAGGACTGGAATTGGACTGTGCAAAGGTGCTGTGACAGCAGCCTCAGGAACAGGCTCTTTGGCTCCGTTCCCCAGGATTGGCAATTGTGAATCCATCTGCAAAGAAGACAAGAAAGATGGCAGGGCAGGATCTGAGCTAAAACCCACCTCCCTTCTATGACCTATGGCTTATGGCACAGAAGGTGGACGTGGGTGTTTTCAGTCAGACCTCGCCCAGCCCTCTAAACCTTACTCTCAGGGGATTGTGGTCCAGTTTCTTGTCGCTTACTCTTAGTTCCCCTACCCAGAAATGGAGTTGATAGTGCCTACTTTGGGGGGTTACTTTCAGTGACGGGTTAAAGGAACCGCAGCGCCTCTGGTCTCCAGTGCAGTACTTGTCAGGCCTCTGGTGACGCTGCCAGTACTTAGCTGTTGTCATCAGCATCCGACTTCAGCGTTGTGCTGTGAGCACGGGGAAGGCCTGCATGCGACCTGGATAAAGACTCTAATCAAATGCTTTGTAAAGAAGAACCCATTTCCGCTTCTGGGGGTGATTTTCCACTCTGCTCTTTTCTCTCTACTCCATTGTTTTCAGAAGACTAGTTTCCCTGACTGGGTTTAGAGGTCTGACCTGCACTGTGGACTAGAGGGGACTGCTGGGGACAGAGCCCCATTCGAACCATGCAGACAGCCCCGCCCCTCCACTCCAAGACCCATACCCGTTATTCATTCATCTTGCATTTCTCATTCTGTTCCTCCTGTGGCCCCCTGAGGACAGGAGGAGAGAAGCGCGGGTGACAAGTGCATTAGCAAAGCATTTACATCACACCCAGAGGGCATCTCCTGGCAGGGAGGCTGACTAGACCTTGGTATCAGTCTTGGGAGACTCTCTCTCTTCTGGGTGATTTCTCAGGGTCCATTCTACCTTATGGCCCTTACCAACAGTGTGTGTGTGTTTGTGGCAGGGCAGCGGCCTCATTCTCATACTCTGACTTTATAGTGTGTGCACCTTCTCTTCACATGGGCATAGTCTGATATTTTGATGGGACCTGCCCTTCACAATCACTCTTTGAAATCATGAACTGAATTAAAAACATTATTTCACTGAATTGTACTATCATGCTGAGTTGGGAAAAAGAAGCCTAAAACTTTGGAATGGTGATTGATTTTCATTCAATGCACTATAAACCTATCAAACGGGTTTCCTGTTTCTTAGTTAAGATTTTGTAATCCACAGAATCTAATTCCTACCTACGTTAATGAGCAATCCAATAAAATTGAATGGTAACCATTATATACTATTTAGGGAAAAATTCATCTTTATTAACCCAACCTCCAGGGGAAATATTGCTGTGAACACATTTTGTGCCTTGTTAGAATTTTTGCGGGTTTGTAATGAGCAAGTGTGCTTGGGGCCAACGTGCGTCCATTTCCCCAGGTTTGGCTTAATGTGATTTTAAGTGGCCACATCATTAACCTTTGAAAAATGGAAGAAGCCCTGGAAAAGTTAACAATGAGGAACCATGCCAGGGCAGCTGCTTTTAGCAACTTCAAATCTGCTGATAAAGTATGGGGGGAATTTGGAGGTGTTTTGGTTGAGGAATGAGCAAGTGAGATTTCCATGACATTTTTCTCTCTGTGTTGGTTTTGGGGTTGGGTGGGGGTGAGTATTGTTCTTCAAAACACTTATTTCCCTTTACTTGGATGAGAGTTTAACCCTTTTGCTTCTGTCCTTCCCCACGTCTCCCCTCTCCTTAGACTGGAACAGTTTGCTGAGACAGAAGGCGGAATTTATTCCCCAGCTGGAATCCGAAGATGACACGAGTTATTTTGATAGTACGTGCATTACCTGACATAAAACATGGCAGAAAATTATCTCTACTTTTCATAGTACCCTCCAAGTCTAGAACCCATGAGTTCTTAGACATACTGTTGCTTTGGTACAGAAAGGAATCATTAAAATACCGAAATTGAACCCTGAAATCCTGAGTAATTGGAACTGTTCCCAAACATTCCTTGCAGCTCGGTCCGAGAAGTATCACCACATGGAGACGGAGGAAGAAGATGACACGAATGATGAAGACTTCAACGTGGAGATAAGGCAGTTTTCCTCGTGTTCACACAGGTTCTCAAAAGTAAGTGAAATATGGCACAAATACGCAGGCTCTCTCTGAGGGACGCTGCCCCTGGCCAGATGTGGGGTACCCCTAAACCGTTGTCAAACCCACCCACAGTATTTTGGAGCTCGGGGTCTCCTGTACTTAAAATTCCTTTTTATTTAGCAAAAGTGACCCCACCATCTTGATAATCCAGAGTCCGTACCCCCTGTATAGATTACAACTCATAAGAGAAGGCTTAGTCCTTGACATAAGCTAAGACCCTTGGGGGTGGTTGATTGAAAGCCTGGTAACCGGTCATAGAAAATGTAAGTTATATTAAAGTGGCCGTTAAAAGTGAAGCTAGAGTTTTGGAAATGATAAAACCGTGGCTGGCAAACTGCGGCTCGCGAGCCACATGCAGCTTTTTGGCCCCTTGAATGTGGCTCTTCCACAAAATAACACGCGCGGGCGCACATACAGTGCAATTGAAACTTCGTGGCCCATGTGCAGAAGTCCATTTTCAGCCTGGGCGAGTCTATTTTGAAGAAGTACTGTTGATATTTGGCCCTGTTGACTAATGAGTTTGCCGACCACTGTGATAGAAGATGATAAAATTGATGTTTGAGAAAGATGCTGCCTTTTTTCTGATAATGGTAAGATTAAAACAAGCAATCAAAACCAAGAAACGTGATATTTCCAACACAAGGCAGTGGGGCCCTGGGAAGATGGACAAGAGCCTAGAAGCCACCTGCCTCCCTTTGCTGTTTGCGGTAGCTGTGCCTTGGCCATGGCGTTGGCATTTTGCATGAATGCTCTTTAGCTCTTCGGTAGCATGTAGTGATTTTAGTGTCCTGCACCTTTTTCTGAGTGACTACCAAGACTGCACCGGCAAAGGGGCCAGCACAGCCCTCCCTGTTTGTAGGAAGGACGTGGAGAGGTGGGGATTTCCCTGGAGGGTATGGTGGCAGGTGTGCCGGAGCCAGGACCCGAGCGTTGACATCACTGAGTGCTGACTTTCCCAGCACCTGTCCTCTGCCCATCAAAGCCAGCCCCTCCACTCTGTTTCCTTCCCGCTGTCTCCTGTTCTTGGCCACTCTCCTCCTAACCCCAGTAAATGTAGATGATGTAAGAGCCATTCCCAGGAGTGTGGCGAAAGTCTGAGCTGGGCAGTAGGCAGTGCCTTCTGGGCTGGGCTCTCAGCTTCCTTGGTTATCTTCCAAGTCTTCCCTGTGGGTCAGCAGAGGTCTCCGATTTCTCAGCTCTCATCCTCTGCAGAAATCCCAGTACCAGCATAGGAAGCTGCCTGACTGTGCATGTAATTTATAAGCCAAACTAATATCTCTGACTCACAACCAAATATGGACTGAATCCGCCCCTCCCCCCCCCCACACACACACTCCACCCCACACATACCTGAAACAAGTCATTTATCCTTCTCTTCACACGCAATTCCAATTCATTTTTCTTCTTCCCACCCCTACCTGGTGGTCATTAAATCTTTTCCTCTGGTTCTCTTTTGCCGATTGACTTCATGGTTAAAAAGTAATCTAAGGTGTGCATCGATCTCCAGGCCCAGAAACCCCAGTGCATCTATGGATTTTGTTTGCAGCTACAAAGTTCATTCCGGATATGGTGAGAGATTGATGCATTCATAGCTCCCTACTCCAAAAGAAAGAAAAAAAAAAGTTACACGTTGACCATTCATCTCAGGACTGAGTAAACAGCATTGGAAAGTACCTTCTGGATACAGTCCCAGTTCATGCTTTAGTCATGTTCTCAGGGTTTGCTCCTGAGATTTGGGTATTTTTTTCTGACAAACTCTTTCAAGACAATATTAATAAGCACTGACTCTTTGCCCTCCAGGTTTTCAGCAGCATAGATCGAATAACTCAGAATGCAGAAGAGAAGGAAGACCCTGGGGACAAAACCAAAAGCACCACTTTGCCATCCACGGAGACGTTAAGCTGGAGTTCGGAATATTCTGAAATGTATGTGAAATGCCTGTTAAGAAACATAAGCCGCAGCTACTAGAGCTGTGGTTCTTAAACCTGAGTGTGCATCAGAGTCACGGGAGGCCTGTGAAAACACAGGGTGCTGGGCCCATCCTCCGTATCTGATCCCCTAGACCCTGAGGGTGAGGGAGAAGGATAGGGGGACCTGAGAGTGAATCTGTGACCCGTTCCCAGGGGATGTCGGTGCTGCAGGCCTGGAGGCCACACTTTGAGAACCACTGCACTAGACATGTCTTCGTTATACTTCTCTAACTTCCATGTGTACCTGGTTTCTTACAAATTCACCTTGAACAGGTCCGGCCGGGTATGTATGTATGCATGACTTTGTTTTTTTTGTTGTTGTTTTTTTCAATTAAGGCAACAGTTATCCACATCCACCTCTTCAGATACTGAAAGCAACAAACATAAGCTCAGTTCTGGCCTGCTTCCCAAACTGGCTATTTCAGCGGAGGCAGAACCAGATGAGGCCGCTCCCTGCCCCGGCGACCTCCGCGAGGAGCCAGAGAAGCCAGTCCTTCCTCCTGCCGAGTGTGCTCAGGAGGAGCCTGAGGTCACCACCCCAGCCAGCACCATCAGCAGCTCCACCCTGTCAGGTAAGCCCTGGGGTGGGGCCTGCCACCCAAACATCACCCCCTCATCCTGGGGCTAGCCTAGCCAGGTAGTGTTTCATGCTGCTACACTCCAACTTCTTGGGCTTGGTGGATGAGCATTAAGAACTAAGGTCAGATGTGTCAGACCCTCCTGAGTGCATGGCCAGCAAACCATCCTTGCTTCAGCTTCACCGGAGAGCCCGCCTCAGCTTCCACAGCTGGGTCAGTGGGATCCTGTGGTGACGGTCAGGACATACCAAGGAAGCATGACCTCTGGTGTTGGTGCAAAGGCAGGTCTTGGGGAGCTGCATCTAACTCACAGTTAGGATAAGGGACAATATCAGATAGTCAAATGGTCAAAATTACCCTAAAAGATGTTGTAAATTACCTGTAAGGCAGTAGAGCAGAAGCCAGTTTTCCCCCTTGTGCTGCAATAGTGGTTTTGTGACGGGGCCAAACCCAATACTTAGCTCTCTGCACTAGACTCTGAGCCAGTACAGCTGGGCACCTACAGCTGGGAGATGCAGGATGGCTTTCCTGCTCCTGGGACCCAGAGGGCAGGGGAGTCAGAAATACCTACCAGATTGGTGCTTTATGTGCATAGGAAACAACCTGACTGCAGACAGAAGCTGCCTTCCCAGCCTCGTAACTGGAGTGAGGAACTCCCGAGGCAACTTGGACTATGCAGGAGGCAGCCCGAGGGCCTGGGCCTTGTCTATGCAAGCACTTGGTCACATTGCTTTTGCGTGAAGTGAGCTCCCTGCCAACAGGAATGGCGTCTTCCTGTGTGTTTTTAATGTTTACTGTAGCATAGATACTTGCTGGCCCTTACAAACGGAGGCGTCCTCATTAGATAATCAACCGTTCACTTCCCTCAGAGCAAACCCTTAAGGTGAATTTAAAATATTATTTGGTTTATAAAAATTTTATGCATAGCATATCCTTCCTCAGAGCAATGTGCATTTATTCTTTAAAAAAACACCCACATGGATGTGGCTTAGGGTTCCTGTCATGTCATAAATGTTTTCATTAAGCCATATTCAATATGTTATGTTGCTAACCATAAATAATTCCAAGATTTTCCGTGAACATTTTTTTAAACTAACTAAATAGTCATAGTGTAATTTTTTAAAAATCGCTTTAAGAAAACAAGTTTGTTTGGGTGGGTTTATTTTAGCCTCTTTAAAAGTTTGGTTCTAGGAAGGAGACTTGACTTGGGGTGGAAAACACATACAATGTACAAATGATGTATTACAGAATTGTACAGCTGATACCTATATTATTTTATTAACCAATGTCACTCCAATAATATCAAGAAATAAGTAAGAAAAAAAGTTTAGTTCTATAGAGGAACTTCATATGTACTTGTAGTTTATCGTGGGTGGAAATAATGTGGGTTTTTTTTTTTCTTTCCCCTGGTCACCTTAGTTCTGTTTCCATTAGGATAATTCCACTTGTCCAAATCCTATAAAGCCAAGAGAATAGCAGTGTATTAATAGTGTAGAAACAACATAGTAATCTAGGATCCCTGACCATATTTAGTCATCTTGGTAATCAAATCAGTATTTTATATTTCTAGTTACTAAGGTCTGTATTTGTTTCTAAGTTTATTTTCTTACTCTGAATAGAGTATATTTACCTCCATTTAAAACTTACTCTTAATATGGTGAATTGCTGATGATCTCTTAGTCTCCTCAGCCTACTCACTATTAGAAAGGTAGGAGGTAAAGGGAGGGAAATGGTGTCTAAGCATTTGATAGATGACTTTCATAATTAAAAAAAAAGTCTGCCTTGGTCCTGCCATGCATTTTGATTAATAGATTCAAACCACCTTTCTCTCTGGCTCCCCCATACACTCACTAAAAATAATCAAAGACCTTGGGGGCTGCACAGAACAGAGAGAGGAGCTGATTTGCTCATAGCCAAGGGTAATTAGGGAATCTGAAAGCCGTGACTGCAGGAAAATTAAATTTGTTGATTTTCATATTGCTCCACCATCAAGAAGAAAGAACCCTTGACATTTCTAGAACATTAAGGTGACATTATCCGCCATTGGCAGGGAGGAGGCACGTGCTTGGTGCAGTGCTGTGAAATGCGATGGCGAGGCGAGAGGAGAGCGGGTCAAGGTGACACTCTCTGTTCACACTCTGGCCTTTAGGGAAGGTTTCTCTCTTTTCATGACCATGTTGTATGTGGATCAGAAAAAAGTACAAGTCCTGAAGTAGTGCTCCATGGCATCCAACGGAGTATTCATTGTCAGGAGATTCGGCTTTTCGGTTTATACTCGTCAGTGATCTTATCCAAACCAAATTAGAAAGAAGGGAGTGTGTACCTTACCCCGAAGTAAGCTTGAGGTCGTTGAGATGAGATTTTTGATTTGTGAAGCAGTTTTTTATCAAGTCCTTCAGCAATGGATTTCTTTATTTAGAATGAATGGAACTGATATACTCTTAAGCAAGATTGAGTTTGGCATAAAGAAAGACTGTTGGTAGTGGCCTTAAGATTGTCTTCCTTTGTCGGTCAGATGGGTGTTGCATACAAGTCCATGCATCTTTTCCCGAACCCACGCAAGTAGGTGGCCACAGACAGTGCTGTGCCCTAGCCCACTCTCTCAAATCCCAGGCTTGCCTTAGCTTGCACCCCCTTCTGGAGTGTGTGCCACCCCCCGTAACCTAGGGCCAAACTTCAACTGTGCATTCGAGTGGTGTGTAGGTAGCATTGTGACAGAAGTGTTAGTTAAGTCTAATTAAGCACAGCACTTTTCAAGGCAAAGGATGTCCTATGGTCAGCACTTTAAAATGTGCTGGCTAGTCTTTCAAAAGATCATTTATAATGGTATTAAATTCTCTGTATGGATTAGAAATCTTAAGGGGATGATAGTTTGGATGATTTATTAAAGCACAGGCTCATAATTTAGCATTTAGAAGTAAAAATGAAATAAGCATTTATTTTTCTGAAAAAAAAAAAAAACACCCCACAAGATATAGCATCAGTAATTTAAAAAATAAAACAACAACAAAAAAGCAAAAAGCACTGGTCGCCTGTGAAAGAAAGAGAAGTAGAGACCGGGATGGCCACTTAACTCCCCTCTGGGGGCCTCAGCACCTCACTCTGAGCAAGAACATTTTTACTTCCGGACTGTGCAGTCACCTGACCGACATCAGTGATGGTCCGTCTCTGCACCCTCCCATGAGGTTATAATCTCTGATCATCCTCTGCTGAAGGCACTTCTCATTTTTTTAACTAAAAATATCTCCTCCAGTTAACAAGAAAGGTTAATAAGATTTAAAAACAGGCATGGCTGGCGTAGAGGGGAAGGGAAGCCTCTTCCCACTAGTCTATTAACTTGAGGGCAGATCAGCGTGCAGAACACTGTCTAGTGCAGCGGTTCTCAACCTGTGGATCGCGACCCCTTTGGGGGTCGAACGACCCTTTCACAGGGGTCGCTTAAGACCATCGGGAAACACATATATAATCACATATTGTTCACTATGCTTTAATTATGTTCAATTTGTAACAATACAATTGGGGGTCACCACACCATGAGGAACTGTATTAAAGGGTGGCGGCATTAGGAAGGTTGAGGACCACTGGTCTAGAGTAAAAGCCAGGAAGGAGTAGTGAGCCACTGAGTAACGTAGCCAGTAATATCCTTTGTCTTGTCCTATGAAGTTTACAAGGAGCTTAGAGAATGAAAGGGGTGAGGAGTCAAAGGAGACACTTAAGTACTTTCTGTAAGTTACATACCTAAGCCTAGTGTGAGGTGTGTACTAGGAAGATGGTGGGGGATCACACGGGCTTACGTCTACGTGACATGATTAAATGACGTCCAGATATCAAAAACCATCATGACCAGCATTCCTAGTGAGGATCATCGCTATCAGAGGACAGTATACAGTAGGAGGTCATGGTGTGCATAAAAGTGATGCATGCTTCCTAGCATGGTGGAGGGGGGGCAGACGAGGGTTGTGAAATATAGATTCTAGAAAGTAATTATTCTACTCAAACGTAGTCATTGATGTTAGCAGGCATATTCAAGTAGAATGAAACCCCTTTCATCTTTCCTCTCCACGTCACCTTTCTCAAACCAGTTGTGTTTTTGATGTTTGCTGACACCGTCCGGATCAAGAGCCACATGGGAGTATGTTTCCCAGCGTTTGTCCTTCCTTCTCCCTCTCTTTTCCCCTTTCCCCTCCTCTCCTACCCCAAATTTTTCTTGAACGTGTTTATCCCTTCTTCTTTGTGCAGTTGGCAGTTTTTCAGAGCACTTGGATCAGATAAATGGACGAAGCGAGTGTGTGGACAATACAGATAATCCCTCCAAGCCACCCAGTGAACCCGCTTCTCACATGGCTCGGCAGCGCTTAGAAAGCACAGAGAAAAAGAAAATCGCGGGGAAAGTCACCAAGTCCCTTTCCGCCAGTGCTCTGTCCCTCATGATCCCAGGAGGTAGCGTGGCGTCTGCTTGCATGAACTTGTGTGGTTTGTGCATGTACACCCCCTCCCCACCCGGGGCCCAGTGTGGAATGCTGACTGAGGTGCAGGACTGCTTAGAGCAATAAGCAAGGGGTCCCAGCCCAGCTCGCTAGAGCTCCTCCTGCAGGCCCCCAAGCTCCCAGAGAGCAGTGGGCCTCACGTCTTCTCCCTTCTTCCTGCATCAGGAAACGAGGCAGCCTTCCTTCCCAACAAAGCCTTATTTCTTTTATTTGTTTTCTTTCCTTTTCTTTTCTTCCCCTTCCAGGTTAAGGGATAAATTTCCCTCCTGAATAATTTTTCTCCCCTACACTATGCCTCATTTATATACTTTACAGAGCTATTTACAGCATCTGTGTTGGAAAGCTGAGTCTAGTTTTTTCACCTAATTAATGAGGAAATGACAGAAAAAACATAGCTTTTTATTTCTGGGATGCAAAGAGTCACAGACAGCACTGAAATTATAAGTTTTCCCAGCCCTGTCTGTTGAGCTATGCTTCCTCCTACTGGTAGTCAAATCATTTTCCGCCCTATATTAGAAAACGGGGTTAATTATGGTTTTATTGAATTGCAGTGTTTTTTCACAACTTGGTTTTGCCTGTAGTAGTCACTAAGTCAGTAGTAATTCCACTGGCAGAGATGAGATATGCACCCTGGTGGTTGATTGTGGCTTATCATTCAAGCGGCAGCGTGGTAGAGTGAAAGAGGCAATTGGACTCCATGGCAGATGGCTTGCACGTGGAAGAATCCAGACCATGTATAAAAGAGATTGTTTACATTTTTGAAATTGGTGCAGAAAGAAACCGGAGATAAACAAATGCTCATTTGGGGGTAGCGCTCACCTTACCATCTTCTGTTTGCTGGGAGGCATCCATTTGTCACCATAAAGCAAGACCCTACCCCTTTAGCTTACGTGTCTGTCCGTACCCAAAGGCAGTGGCCCGAGTGCAGCTGCTGCCGGGAAGGTAAGTGTGGAGTGGCCCAGTCACTTCTGAAAGCTGATGAGAAAGCCCGCATCTGGGTAAAGTAGGGCAACTATTTAACTTGGGGAGATAAGGGAAACCATCTTGAGGTAAAGGACCCAAGGCAAGCATGTCAAACTCATGGCTGGCGGGCCTTTTAAAGGAGGTGTGCATCCCGCCGGCTGCAAGTTTGACATGCTTGATCCAAGTCCTGGCCTTTCATCAATTTGGATCGCATATCCACCCCGTCCTCTTCTCGCTTGCATGTTTTGAAGTCCCCCGCCCACCAGTGTATGTCTTTTGAATAGACAGAAGGTCGCCAGCAAAAGAACACCGAGCGGCCGCATGAGGTCAGAGAGTGAAGGGGCATGGGCAGTGGCACGTTTAGCTCATTGTTCTGCTTTGCACAGACATCTGAGTGGGAACGAGTGAGGGTACGGATGCTCTCAGCTTCCTGTGGCCACACGGCGACTCGCCACCCTGCTGCGTCTTCCGCAGCGTGGCGTTCTGTAGCCTCGCTCCCGCTGAGCTCACATTTCAACCGCAGCATCCTTTGTAGATTATTCTTTTCCTCACATGCACAGTCTCACATGACCAGTGGAAATCTGCGTAGATTCACACGGCTGGAACAATGACATGAACTATACATTACAAGGCGTTTGCTTATAAAACAAGGAAAGGGAGCAGAATCGGTGTTTTGGATTGTGAACCAAGTTCCTTTCAAATTTCTCTGTTTCACCTGCATTGTCCTCTCGGAAACCTTATTAGAAATGCAGGTGATACAGGAAGAGAATCACTTGTAACCATAGTAATAAGGAGTGATTCTTTTATTAAAAAAAGTTACCATTTCAGTGCTTTCTTGATTCAATATTTTAGTCAGTACTAGTTCAATAATATGATGTAAAAACAGCGGGGGAAATTACACCTTTCTTTCCTGGCCATGGGTGTTTGAAAAGGACTATGTGAAAGTTGTTTAGGGCAAGAGTTGGAGCCTGAGAATCTTTTACTCTAGTCCACACGGTCTGCTCTGTGGGCGTGAACTTCAAATTCGTGCACCTATGAGTTGTCCCTTTAAGTGAAATAAAATGCATTAAATAGCATCACAGCTAGATAGTAGCTAAGTGCTGTGTGTGTTTTAATTAGCATAGAGAACTAAGAAATCATACCTTTAGTTTATGAAATGAAAGCTCATTAAAATACAGACACTTTCGAAGTTTCCTTGGCAGACCTCTGTTTTGAAATCCATACTGCTTACCCATAGGGATATTTTTATATTATTTCTCCTTTACTTTTCTGCTAGAATGAATGCATTTGTTTTGCAACCACGCTCCCAATCCCAGCAGGGCTGACGTGGTGAGGGCTGGCTGCATGCATGCGTGTGTGGCCAGCATGGGTGTTGATGACTGGCCTCTTCGTTGCAGATATGTTTGCCGTTTCCCCGCTGGGGAGTCCAATGTCTCCCCACTCCTTGTCCTCGGACCCTTCTTCTTCACGGGATTCCTCTCCCAGCCGGGACTCGTCCGCAGCCTCTGCCAGTCCGCATCAGCCCGTGGTCATCCACAGTTCGGGGAAGAACTATGGGTTCACCATCCGAGCCATCCGGGTGTACGTGGGCGACAGTGACGTCTATACAGTGCACCACATCGTTTGGGTAAGACCAGCAGTCTCTCGTCCTTGTTACTTTTTATTCCCAGCCACACTGGGGAATGGGTGAGTGGGCTAAGACAGACATAACAGCAAATATATTTTCTGTTGAGCTGGAATTTGGGACCTGTTCCACTTTCCT